TATTGTGCAAATTAATGCGTGGTAAAAGGGTAAAAAATACAAATAGTAACCGTAGGGTGCCTACACTAAACATTTACCACAAGCTTTTCCCCTCAATAGTTTACATATTCATCTTACAATCCTACTATTTGCCAAACCCAAATTCGGAACCTCAAGGTCTGTGTGGGAACTTATAACCTTGAACCATCACTGTAAACACAACAATACACAATACAACAGGCGCGCGCCGCTTGCATCATATCTGCTTTCTCTCCCTCACAATTACCCATTATTTATGGTAATATGAGTAATTAACCAGATTTATGGGAAAGGAATACTCGTGAGTAATGCGATAATACTCACGAACGCCTGGACATTACCCGCGATAATCGCCGACCGCTTCCTTGTTGGAGTTTGTGATTGGAAAATTTAGCGGGAATGTTTGGTGACCGGTTTCATATTTCTAGTGAATAGTGACCGTATGAATCCATAGTTCCAGGATGTTTCGAGTATAGTTTAGCTTTTATATTAAATTATTTTTCCGACAAGATAAGATTAATATGTATGTTTGATATACACTATGGTTGTATCCGATTGTATCAGATTTTGCTCCTGCAATTTAAATTGGTAATTCGATGACACATTAGATGTCCGAATAAATAATAAATAAATCTAATTCATCAACTTACATTTGAACATAACCAATACAATAACAGAAACACCGTAATACTAAATAAGGAAGCACTCACACAGTAGAGGCAATATATCCACAAGCTTTTTATCTAGGCACAAAAAGGTAGCGCTCAATAGAACGATTATCAAGGCAATTCGGGTTTGACTCAATAGCCATTCAGTCTGTTTGCCTCAAAACCACGAGGGTCTAGTGAAAAATGACGGCTTCATAATTCTATTCAAACTGGGAACCTTATAAATACGAATGGCATTGTGTGTCGACAGTCGACAATGGTGAGATGGGGATTTGTCGTCGGCAAGATGGCGGCCGTCGCCGAGCCTTGACATTCTGGGTGTAAAGTAATTAAAGTACATGGTCACCGAGCAATTATTACTTTAATAAAGGTGCTTGATGGAAGTGTGTAAAGTTCTCGGTCGCATTTATGTAGTTCCCATCGGTAGTTTGTTAAATTATCGTAAACATAATAAAATTACCATCCAATTATTGTGTTAAAATGAAAACAAATGCTTTGAATTGATTCTTTTAGTTGGAATTATTCTGGTATTTTACCGTACACCAATTTATAATATTAAAACAAACACAAATGTGCAAGAATAAAGTCTACATATGTTTTAGAAAACACTGTTATAGCGATTAATTTACGAACATATTCAAACCTATACTTTTATAATTTTATTTTATGTTTATTTCAATACTTTAAAAAAAGGATATAATTTCTTAATAACGTTTTCATAAACTAAAATAAACTTAGTTTTTTTAAGGTTTTACAATTTTAAAATTTAAATATTTAATTGTGTGTTTCCTTTTTATAGAGGTAAAGGAGTTTTTTGTTAATTATTTACAATCGTGAATTGTGACATGAATAATTCGAAAACCATCATATCTTTTTAAAATTACAAGGTACTGTTTTGTTTACACTTGACAAACATTAAATGAGCACGAAAAAATTGCCCTTACTGCAACAATATAAAAAGATAAAGACAACATTTTAAACAAACTTGAAATCCCAACACCAACTCCGATTCTCAACATAATCGTACAAGCTATAAAAATAATTAATAATATGATATAAACATTTAACATATCAACATAAGTACAGTATTTGAAATTTGAATGAGGTAATAGCTACACACTTAAAAGACAAACCATGCTGTGTATTAAGAAATAAAAATAAAACAAGAGATACTATTATGAATTTAATAATGTTGAATTAATACAAATAACTTAATCACTGAAAGTTTTTGAACAAAAAAATCTTTCAAAATTAAACCCCTCGCACGCATACATAATTCATAATCCAAACCGAAATTCAAAGCGTCTTGTAAACTAAAGCATCTGGATGGGTAATTTTCAAGACGCTCTGAGCGCTGGGTGCTGAGTAGGCCAGATTTAACAAGAGTGGCCCCAGCACTGAACCCTGGGGTACGCCAATACGTGACCAAGCCTTGCCCCTAGCATTACGTGGCTCGGCAACGCTAAACCAACACCGTCCACCACCGATCATTATGCTGCATTATCCTGTTCAAAATTGTCCTCCCTGGCGTGTAATTTTTGTACACTATTCGCCAGGAATTTGAATTGATTTAATGAGCAAATAATTGGCATAAATAGAAATTTCTAGACGCTTTCATGAAAGATGGACTCCCCGTTCTCTTTCTTGTGTGCGCTGCTTTCTTTTGAGGATTCGTTGTTTGTACTATACTTGGTTGTATTTTAATTGTTGTACAATATTTTTTGAAACAATAGGTAGGCTATAATTAATTGCAAACAATTTTACAGTGATAAATTAACCAGCTCTATCCTATTTTATGAAAATAGTAATTGTTTGCATTTAGTATTTCTTAAAATTGTACATGCTTATTTACGTTCGGAGTAAGCCTGTGCTACAGTTTTACTTTTACGTTCATTGAAGTTTGGGTACAACAACTCCAGAGACTCGGTCTTGTAACATTGAACCAAATATAATTAACCAAAATTATAATAAATACTTAGCCCTAAGATAATTCGTTCCAATTTTAAAGTTGGGGTTGATAAACGTTTACGTTTAAAGAATTTAAAAGGTCACTGTCTACCACTGGTTGAAACATTCAAAACTTAATAATGGATTGTATTTCGAAGATGTACCCTACTCTGATACAGCAGGATGCGTATTTTTAGGGGAAGATAACGAAATGATGTTGAATGGATGATGGATGAGATGACTGCTTACTGACGAAGATCAACTACTACTTTAGTCAGGGCAGCGATATGACAAGACCAACGAACATTAAAAGTATTATAAATGCAAACCCTTAAAACAATAAATTTCCGAAGTTGTGCACCTTGTTTTCGTCACTATCAATATTTTACCACATAATTTCGCCACTCCATGTTCGACGCGTCGTCCGCTGGGCCGCGAACGTTGCGGAATGCAGACTGGGTTTCTCCGCCCAGACTGCCTGGCTGCTGGGATCAGTTTCGCAAGTCGCGATCGTATCAGTCCAAATACTCGCAGCGATAAATATTTGTCCTAGGCAAGGATGTTTGCGCCTACATCGACCGTGATCGACCGAGTATTTTAGGAGCGTGAGAATCGCATCGGAGAAACTGCTTTTCACTCTTATCTTTTACGGAAGTTTTTGTTGAGTTTTCTCTTTCCGAAATAAAATATCGTAATCACATGTGATGGATATTTCACTATTCTGGTGCTGGCTGTAAAAACTTAAAGTGATTGTATACAATTTTGTTTCTTTCCCTAGTAATCTGAGATTCAAAGATTTACTAACAGTAAAATTTTAATATTGTTGCGAGTACAAGTTCTTCATGTGGCTTAATTACAACCAACTGTGCTGAATCAAAATTTCTCAGTTTATATCTTAATCATAGATGCATAACAAAATAACAAAATTATCAATGACTGCATTCGCTGTCCATATTTAATATGCCTAATTTTAATTTACATAACTTGTATATTGTATTCGAAACCAAACCAAAGCGTATTATTAATATTATTTAACATAATATGCATCTAGGTGGACTAATAATTACTTGTAAGCAGTATAAACTTTTGATTACTATACAATTAAAAAACATATATATAAAAAAACGCCATTTTTTGGTGTACATTCATATTGTTTAACTTTAGTTTCACTCCACAACACCTCCCTGGCCCCAACGATCGTTCGGTCGAGCCGATTGCTCAACAGTGTTAATTTATTTATCCGGTAGTGAAGCGGTAGGTCCGTGTGTCTGTGTGTGTGAGCGGACCCACTTTCAATCACTCCAGATATGATTAGCGTGTGGCGTCGGCGTCGGCGTCGAGCACCAACCGACCGGCAAATTGGCCCTGTCAACCATTAAACTGGTGCAGTCTTTAATAGAATGATCACAGTTTACAGTTAGTGCTTAACTTGTACGCGCATTGATTGCCCACAACGTAGTTATGGTGTTTAATGGGCTTGTATGGGAGAGCAAATGATTTGTTTTTATAGTGATAGAAGCACCAGTATGTCTTGGCTAGAAGTACACCAAACACATAATAGTATATGTTATAGTGTATGTAAACATTAAACGAAGCTATGCACAACGGATTGTGCTTGTAATTTTTATCCAATCTAATCACAATTCACCCATTGTCAGTAAATCCATAGAATAATACAACCTCACTGAAGCTGTGAGTCCGGACCTATGCAAAAATGTCTATATACCTTCTTTTTCTCATAAGAATTTTTTATAAAAGACTTTAACTTAAGATGTGGTTTGCTGATTTGAACTGAGCTCTCATAAATGCCCAGAACTATTGATCGTATCTACGATTTCTTACACTTCCCAATCCCGTGAAAACTCTCCACATCAGTTGGACCCGGTTGACAGTTGATACGTTATTTCTGAACTTTCCAAAAATTAGGGAAAGATGGCTTTTGCCAACCTGTTCTAGACGCTTCATGCAAAAAACAAACCTTTTCTAGGGATGAATCTAACAGTATACGTAATATAAAATGCATCTATGTTTTTACTAAGTCATTGTGTCAGGTCCATGTTTTGTGCCGAAGGGACCATTTCCATCCGAACCTCAGCAGGGAGGCTTTTAGCCAATCTCCGAAACTCTTGGTGTAAATGTTAGGGGTTTGCTGGGTATGAATTGTGTAGCAATTCATTTCTATCCATGTTTCGTTTTCTTGTGCATTTCCATCCAAACCTAAACTACAGTAGGTGACGGATTTTGCCCACTTCAAAAATTAAAGCTCTTGGTATACAATGTTAAACCTTCCTGGAGGATTTATATGGCTTATATTCTACATATTTTTCTGTATTTCCCCTTGTTGTAACAATACCATGTTTGTCACAGAAGGGAGAGAGTGTGTCAACTGCGGGGCGACATCCACGCCACTATGGAGGAGGGACGGCACCGGGCACTACCTCTGCAACGCTTGCGGCCTTTACTACAAGATGAACGGCCAGAACCGTCCACTCATCAAGCCCAAGAGGCGACTGGTGAGTACCACTACCACTACTGCTTTACTACGGCCATAACGTACAATCCGACCCGGCACAGTAAATCTCACATCGGCCGCTACTAGATTGGTAGCGGGCTGTGATTCATTTTGTTTACACCGTGAAAATAATCGCCCTGTTTGATTTGGGAGAGAGTTGTAATCAGGTCAGAATGGAAGGTGTGAAAGGTCTTGGGTAGTTGATGCACGTTTTGCCTAATATATAGGGAATCCAGTCCCAATTATGACCCAATCGATGTTTAAAACTCCATTTAAGTGAAACTTTAGATTCAAATGGACGTTGAAGTGTAATTTCTGTTGAAGCCTATCTTTTTTAGTTTGAATTTTTTGCCAATAAGAAAAATCATTTTTCAATTTTATTTTTGAAAAGAAATAGTTTTTTATGACAAGACAGGGATGATCTCTATTGCACGAACTACGTGATTCTTTGGGTGAGATAATCAAAATCGAAGAAATTTGTATTTGAAAATCTTCAGACGAGTCGCAGGCTTGTGCTACGTGATACAGACTTGACTGCACCGAAAATAGTTCATCTGGTTACAGGCAAACCTGATCCTACAGATAGGTAAAATGACACAGACTGTAAGGTACAGACTGTAAAATGTGTTAAGCTAGCTTCAATTTTATTTCTGTTTATACAAAATCTGACGATCCACGTCAGAGATATTATTTCAGCTCAATCTCGAGTGCACATAAAAAGTACTAGTAGTTGCGCCCCTATCTTGAAATATTGATAATTTTACCTAATCGGTCTTCAGAGGTATTTACTTTTAATTTTGCCAACTTCTAAGTTCGGCTTACGTAGCCCGAGGTGCAAGCAATAAAGCCTTGTCCATTACAACAGTTGAAGTCTATAAAGCGCATGTCTGTACATAACGCATGCGCAGTTCCGCACGAAATACCTTGGCAACTGCGACGCCGTTGTAACTCATGGTATAACACGGAGCCGACATGTCAAAACTAACGTTTTACAGCCTAGTTTAACGACTTCGATTGAAAGATTGTAACATGCAATTGGTTATTATAGGCGGTTATGGCTTTTCTATGTAAGCCGGATTTGTTGCACGCTTGTTGGAAAGGGCAACACAAGTTTATCCAATATAGAATTGACAGCTTAAAGTCACTAAAGTGTATCTTGTAGCTTTGAAATTTGACTTTGGATAGAACTAAACATCATATCTTTATGTTAAGGTCAGTCAGTTTTATAATAAGGTTTTGAACTAAGCTAGTATCAACAGATTTACGTAGGTATTGTTATCTAAAACATAACGTTTTGAGGTACAAAACATAATTATAATTATCAACTCACAAATTTTAATAAATATTTTGAATCCAAGCACATATTATGCTGCTTACATTTTATCTTGCAGCGTGTTGCTTACTAAGGTTTGTTTACAGTAATTACTATAGATTACGACTTGCATCTATCGACCTTCTACACAAAACATAAATCAATAAAGCACAGACTAGAATTACCTACTTAATTACTGCATTGATTGAAGTAAACGTAACAAGTTTCAGTGTAACATTGAATAGTTATCGGAGTAGTTCGTGTTCGCAATGCTAATATCGAACCCATTATCACACAATCGGTTAATTAATCGTAACGGAGTTATTAAACTATTATAGTTTTCATATTGCATAATATACACACTAGTATAGCTTTTTTACTATCACTAATTAGCGCATAATCAAATGAGAAATGTTAATACAATAAACCGATTTTAAACTAAACTTAAATTAAACTTGGAAAAATGTAAGATCCAACAAACAAATTCTAGGAATTCTCCACCAGGTGTTTTCTCAACACTTTAAGGTTACATTTATCTACACACAAAACCGTGTTAGGTAACTCAGACAACATTACCAACTTGTTTCAACAGTGGCATTCATACAATCTCGCAGTCACAATATTAATTACAAAGTTTGTTAATTACACTCGCCCCACAAGTGATTTACCGAAGGGGATGAAAGCGTTCTCACGCAGACCGGGGTTTCTCACAGGTTTGTAACAGTTTTGGGCCCGTGTACGCCTACTCGTTATTGCACGTGGCTTTTGTTTTATTAATGCACCCTTCAGCCCTCGAGGTAAAAACAATGTCCGGTCGATCGCCTGAACCGCCCCAGAGATATTGACTGGCGCGAGTCAACGATTCATCAGGCTGACGATGTAAACTCTACAAACCACAAACAATTTATTTGAATTTTTCGTGTGCGTTTTAACATAATTAAAATTTGTAATGTTTTGTGTAAGGGGGTGGTTCAAACCCTACTGTTTCTACTGTTGACTTTTGGATAAGAGTGAACATAATATGGATCTGTAGCAATTTTCCGTACAAATAGAACAAGGGTTGAGTAAATCGCTTACAAAGTGTGCCCTTGTGTTCATTCAATACTTTTGATAATTAATGGGACATTAAAACTGCTATAGTTAACAGTAAGAAACATTTATGTATACGTCAAAATGAGTAATTGGCAGCAGAACTGGCGTAATCTTCACCCTGAAACTGGCTGAAAGTTCATGGACCACGATAGGACTACATAATACTATTAAGCATCGTCTAGTTGTATTGCCCTATAACGTTGTCAATACCGTTTTACACCCCTACAGCTTGGAACTCCCGGTCCAATAGAAGTAGGGAAGCGAGATAACAAGTATCAAAATCTCCCCTAATCTCCACCAGAGTAATCGGCCGAGACAAATAGACCATAAAGTAAATTTCACGGACCCTCATTCGCGACAGCCCTTTCAGCCCTAGCCCCGCCCCCTCTTTAAAAATCACCCTCGCTAAAAGCACAGTGAAAACCGAGCTGTTTTTGTGTCCAGTTTTGATGGATTTCTTTGTAGCGCTGAAGTGGTGTCGTGAAGAGTGACAGTAGCACCTTTTGTTAGAAAGAACCCGCTAAGATTGTTTGGGGAGGGATCGATATACAGGGTGCTCCGTAGTTCACCTCTCGAGTGCTGCTGAGACGAGATGTATTAGTGAGTACGGTGCTTAAGGATTAGGAGTGCTTACTGTACAATGTCTTTGTCTTAGGAGGTAGCTTTATTCTAAAGTCTAATTGTGGAAAGGTAGGCTATCGCATGGTGGAAGTAAATATTTACTTACTTATTTACTTCCACCATGGGCTATCGTAATCGTTCCATAACTCATGTGGAATTTTGAAGTTTGAAATCAGATATTTTATAGTAATGGGCTATTCGAAATGTTTAAAGTAACGAGTAGTTGAGTAAAAGTGATTTTGCCATTAATTTTGTAACTGATAGAATTCATGGTTCTGTGCTGCTTCCTTGGTATACGTAAGAAAAATACCAACCATAAAATAACAATGACGACAAAACAGAGGAAAGTGATAGATTTTTAAAAATAAAAATATATTTAACTATTTTGGAGTGGAAGCAGAGACATAAAAACAGTAAAACGACACTTAAAATTGTATAAAAACTTATAGATGTATCAATAAATCTATTGAATTTATTGAAACCAAATTAGGTGTGGATTATACCATTGCTTACTTGAGAATACTTGAGAAAGTTGAGTTTATAGTTAAATAAAAATTCATTAATTAACATTAAAATACATTTCCTACATGTTTTAAACTGAGTACCCAATAGAGTGTAAAGCCTTTCAACCGAACACAGTAAGCGATGTTGGACAAATAACCATATAATTTGCGCACATTATACGGGGACATTGTGTCGATAGTTTTTTGCCTCCAGCTGTGCAGGGGACATAATCACGGGTTAATTGTACGGGCCAATCGCAACTCAGGATTGAATGTGTATAGGGGCGAGCAGGCGAGCGTCCACTCGTCCAGCCGTTACATGCCACAATGGCACATTCTGCGATACAACTACGGTACATGTACTTCGACGCCATCTTGGAAATTTACTAGAGTGGTGTGATTTTTTATATTTTTAAATGTTGTAGTGTTAAAAATTTGAATTTAGTGTCTAAATAGACATCCCATCTTTCCTAGAGCCAATTATAAACCCAATTATAACGTTTTCATACGAGCAAATCAAATAATGTAATATTGTCAAAATTCATTATGGTCTAGTTAACAATAAGTTATAGTTCCAGTTTGGTTTGGTTACCAAGTTGGCGTATTCAAGATAAGTCAAATTAATTAATTTAACTCCAGCATAATTTTGGGAAGTCTTTTTACAAGTTAGGAAATCCCTACGGTATCGTATGTTAACATATGTGGCACTACGTAACTGTATGTTATTAGACTGATTCCCCATCCGTTATATCTCCACTCTTGTCAAATGTATAAGCTAAGATAAGCTTTATCATTGTATGTTATTTCGCATAACATTTCTTATATTATTCAAACTGTATTCATTGTAATAATGAAATGAACCGTATAAATAAATAATCCACCATGCACAAACAACCAAAATTCCAGGTAAGATTGTTATGGAAATAAGTGAAACAAACGTGTACTTTCCAAATTAAATTGAGTGGAAGGTGAATTTTTAATCAATTTAAAATGGCTCTGATTCATAGTACAACGAATTTTTTACACGTTTGGCCTGTACTATCACCTTTATCCCTGTCAAACAACAATTTGATATGAGGATATTTAGTCTCAAACTTATTGTTAGAAGAAATACTGCTAATGTAAATCTTGCCTCATCTTTGGACATAAATCGAAGCAAACCTCACCTGACACGGAAATAACAGCGTTGGTCACAAAAATTGAAAAAGTTAGGCAATAAAATGGGGGATGAAGCCCTGCGGCACGAACTTTTTAAATGGAATCAGACGAAGAAAAGTTCGTCATTCAACTGGCGTTGACGTAAAAATTGACTCGTCTGTTACTTTGAGTTCTATTACCTCTGGGCCATTTATTAAGCTTATGGCGTTTAAATCTAACTATAAAATTGCATCTATTTTTTAGACAATCTGGTATCCCTCTCAGGGTTGCATAGTTCTCCGTTGATTGGAGATTACTATTTTATATTGTTTTGTA